AGTTTCAATCCAATATATATACAGACTGGGCAATGAGGAATTATGATGTTATGAGGTGACAAAGAGTTTTATGCTTGGCTTTGGAACTTAAAGGACTGATGGTGGAACTGGAACATTTTTCATTCAAAAGATTCAATATACTTCTCCTTCAGCTTTTTTGGCATGCCTAGCAATGAACATAGGGAGAGCTATTGAGTGCCTTCAGGTGAGAGAGGGACAATAGCAGGGATTTTAACTGATTTATTTCCCCACCCAAGCTGTCACTTGATTGTAAGAGCATGGTGCCTGTTTCTTTTATCCCTTCTATTTATTTCTACACGATGGATGAATGAGTATACAGAGATGGAATGGACCAGGTTATTACTTTCTGACCTTTGAAAGATTAAAAGAGCCATCAGAAGTCCAGCAACTAGAGTTGATAGCAGTCTGCCAGTGACTGCAGTGGCTGATGTGTAGTAATAAGCCAGCACTGAGCAGCAACCTACTTGCCAAGCCCAGCAGTGAATGAAACCAGTATTTTCCTGCAACCAAAGGAAAAATTAGTCTAATGGCTGCATTACACCTGTATTCCCTCTACTAGTTCTTCCACAGCACTTCCATCACCCCTGAACTTGGTTATACTCTCATCTCTTCCCTGTTTCTTCCTCTTTGTGATCAAATTTAACCTTATACTATCCTGTACTCTAAAATTATGTTCTTCCCTGATCGGTTCACTAGACCACTCTCCTATCTCAAATCTTCCTGTCTCTCTTCAAGCCTTCCAAAGTAACCTTCAATTCCTCTTTTCCCAAATCCATGTCTTTTATCATTCTCATACCATGTCTCTTCCCACCATCTCTTTCTTCACTCCAATCTCAGATGAAGTAGTGGCTGATCTCCTTGCCAAATTCAACCCCCCTATAAACACCCTTGATCCCACCCCCTTCCAATTTACCCTGATCCACTATGATCTCTACTCTTCTTTATTTCCAGTCTTTCTCTATTTATGGGCACTTTCCTTCCCACCTAAAATTCCAAACATGCTTCCCCATCTTTAAGGAACCAAAAACAAACAAAAGCTAACTCTATCCTACCATCCCCACTAGCTATTATCCTGTATTTCGATTCTTCTTCATGGCTTAATTCCTTTAGGAAGCCATCTATAATCAGTGCCCCTACCTTCTCTTACTATCTTCCAAACTCTTTGCAATCTGGCCTCTGATCTCATCAACCAACAGAAACTGCCCTGTCCAAAGTTGCCAGTGAACATTTAATTAATTCTCAATATAATGCTATTTTCCCAATCGTCATCCTTCTTAAACTCTTGAAAACATTTGACACAGCCAATAGTTTCTCTCCTACATATTCTTTCCTTTATATTTATGTGTATGTGTATGTGTGTGTGTATGATATAGTGCTATTTTTTGGTTTTCATGTTGGGTATCTATCATGCTAAGGTATCATATTATGCCTACTATCTTGGATGGTACCCAAGGCTTTGTTCTGAATCATCTCCTTTTTTTCCCTTCAATATTATCTCACTTAATGATCTCATCAACTCTTAATGGCTTCAATTATTATCTCTATTCTGACAACTCCCACTTCTATATAGTAAGCCCTGGTCTCTTTCCCTAGGTTCAGTATTGCAACTCCAACTGCCAATTGGACATCTCAGACTGGATTTCCCTTAATAGAATTCATGATCTTTCCCTCCACACTTTCCCCTCTTCTGAACTTCCATATTATTGCTTATAGTACCATCATCATTCCAATCATGCATTTGGGGTCCCAGCATTTAATATCATCTACAACCATTCACTCTCACTCATCCTTTTTACCTCTAAATCATCTCCCATATATTTTCCTTTCTTGCCACTCACAGAGCTGCTGTTATAGTTCAGGGCTTCATAGCCCCCTGTCTGAGCTGTTACAACAATCTTATAAAGAGTCACCCCATTTCAAGCATCCTTAGTTCAAGCCATCATCCAAGTAGCTACCAAAATGATTTTGTCTAAAGAGTAGGTCTCTGTCCAATGACCTCCAGTGGCTCCCTGTTTTCTGAAGGATCAAATATAAACTTATCTTTTTGGCATTTAAAATTCTTCATAACCTGTATCCTTTCTATGTTTCTAGTCTTCTTACTCTTTTCTTCCACATACTTTAATTTTCAGCTCCTACTTAGGGTTCCTTGATCATGACACTCCATCTCTGTTCCTTTGCTCTAGCTATCTCCCATTCTTTGTATTCTCTGCTCCTTCCCATCTCAACTTTTAGTTTCTCTGACTGCTTTCAAGGCTTCTCTAGATAAAACCTTCAGAACACCTTTCACTTGGTCCACCTTAGCTGCTAGGGCCTTCGCTTCCATATTCTCCGTATATTTCCTGAATGTGCCTAGTTATTTACATATTATTTTCTTCATTCAAAAATGAGTTCTTTGAGATCAGGGATGGGGTTTTGCCTTTCTTTGTATTCTCAGCACTCGGCATACAGTATGAACAAAATAAATGCTAGATAAGGGGGCAGCTAGGTGGCATAGTGAGTATAGCACCAGCTCTGGAGTCAGGAGGACCTGAGTTCAAATCTGGTCTCAAGACATTTGATACTGGCTGTGTGATCCTGGGCAAGTCACTTAACCACAATTGCCTCACCAATAAAAAAAAAAGAAAAAAGAAAGGCTTGTGGATTGAACAACTAACATGAGAACCAGCTCAATATATGATTAGTCTGTTGCATATCCCACATTTTCTCCTTATAAGTGATCCACCTCCTTTTCTGTTTATATGCCTTTTGGATATAGATTATACTACGTCTTGTGTATACTGCTTCATGCATCTGTGATCAGATTAAATCAAAGATTTTTTTTTTTGTCAAGGCAGTTGAGGTTAAGGGACTTGCCCAGAGTCACACAGCTAGTAAGTGTTATGTGTCTGAGGCCAGATTTGAACTCATGTCCCCTTGACTCTCCAGGCCCAGTGCTCTATCCACTGCGCCACCTAGCTGCCCTAAGATAATTTCTTTAAATGCATTCTGTGCCTTTTCTGCCTTGAATTCATGTCTAACTTATTAAATGTAAAGGCACTTCATAATAAATATTTACTTTAAATTGTACTGGAAAATACATATCTATATACATACATATATACATATATAATATTTAATTATTTTCTGTTTGGGGTATGTCTAGATACATTTTGTATACATGGAATTTTACATTAAAAAAAAATTGTTATATAGCCACAACCATACTCACATACAGACTGAGCTGAAAATCACAGTTTAGTTAAAGAACTACATGGCAGTGTGTAAAATTATTTATAAAGAAAGTATTTATCTTATTTCTTACTTTTATTTGTATTAATTTTTTATAACTTTACAAAGAGGGTCTTAAGATGGATTTATTAAACAAGTCATGATAAAACAGTAATTCTGAAAATAAAGAAGTTATTTTTAAGATTGTGTTTAGTAGGATAATTTCTAAAAGGTTATAGATACGTAAGGCTGAATGTTTTCTACTTAACAAATAAATTGTGATAAAAATCTACCTCTTTATCTTTTATGTCTTATGCCGAGGAGAAATGAAGTTTTGTATAAAAATTGGCATAATTGTCTTGTTTGAATATAGATTGTGTAAGATTTAAGAAACTTTATTTTCAGATATGGTAACCTTGTCCTTAAGACCTAATTAATTTTTTTAATGGAAACTAAGTAGCTTAGCTTATGTTTAAGAAAACCTGAAAATCCACCAAAATGCAACGAATAAGTAGCCTGTGCTCCTGAGCTACTGCAAACAAAAGTCTCTTTTGCTTTTTCTTAGTCCCTGTCTTTGAATGTTATCTATTCTGAAAGCGCTTGTAGAATCAGTACTATGATGAGAGAGAAAAAAAAATTATTGCTGAAATAGAGGAAAATGTTTAAGATTATGTACTATCTAGAACTAAATTGAATATGCTTATCAAACAAGAAAGTTCATTTGGGAGATCAAGGATGAACAGATGAAGAGGCTTCAAGTTGCCCTCAGATGGAAGGAGATTTCAATTCCCCGTGTTATCTTCATAGCTATAGTAACTCAATAATTCAGAATGTCAGACATTACAAAACTCCTGGCAGCTTATCCTTAGGGTTTCTAATACACAATTTGTTTAAGAAAGCTTAGATATGTAGGTAGAAGTATGTTCGTATGTATTTGGACCATACATTACCTGTGATGATATAAATTCAAGTATACAGTTAATGTTTGCTTGCATTTTGAAGGATGAAGATGCCTAGATAATTTTAAAAAAACAGCTTCAAAAATCATTTTTAGTTAGGTTTAATATTGAGTTAGAGATTCATGACTATTTTTTCAATAAGAAATTATTCTACCCACATTACAGTTAATTGATTTTAAGTAAGTCACTTAACGGGATTGGGTTTTAGTTCCTTGCTGTTTAAAATGCTGGAGATACACCTACAATTCCCCTTTATGTTTCTAACATCCTATAACTCTACAATATATGCAATACAGAAATGCACTTGGAAATATAAAAACATTTTCCTTGACTACTTCTAGCCCTGGGCTTGATTCCTTATTGGTTCACCTTTACCATCCAAAGTTGAAACTTGATCAAATACTGGTAGTTAGGGTATCCTCGGTTGAAAAGCAATCAGTCTTTGTTGCGGATAACCAATAGCTGATTGTATGTAAAAATGAGCCTCTTAGCCCCTGTTTATCATGGAAGTACAATAACATGATGTAATGAGAGGGTTGAGAAGCTTTGAATTTTGAAACATGAGCATAAATGGTCTGAACAAAGCTTAATTTTTCTTTCACTATAAAGTATAACAACAATTTAATAATTTTTTCAGTAATTTGAGATTTAGGTTATCAGCTTTATTCTAACTTTAAAAATTAATCTATCTATTTGTAAGAATCTAAAATATGATGTTATTATGATCAAATAACCAAGAGAGAGAATAGAAATGTGAATGTAAGTACAGTATTAGAATCTACTAACCGCTTTAAAAAAAACCCTCTCTTTCAGGAAAGAACGGTGACCATTAGAAGACAAACTGTAGGAGGATTTGGATTAAGCATAAAGGTAGCATGTCATTTCAGTCTATCATCACATAGGCCATGCTATAGTGCCTGCCTTATCATGCATTTTATTTTTGTGGATAAAGAAGAAAGCAGATGAGAGGGAGCTCCCCCTCCCATTTGGCTTAGGGATCAAATTGGCTGGGCATTCCAAAATATCAGATAAAGCATCTCTTCTTATTGAGTGAGTTGAGGAAAAAAAATAGTTGGGATTTGTACCTCTCTCTGACATGGGATTCCATCTTTTTTTTTTTTTGCTTTAAATCCCAGAGCATTTTATAAATCATTTTGTAGTCAATGAATGTACCAATGATTGTGCCTATCACTGGGTGAAACAAGGGTGGATATCTCCAATAAGGTCTATATCTATTAAGATATGGAAGTGAAATTGTATTTGGCTACTTTTGTTTTATTTGTTTCCATTATGGGTTTGAAGTTCATTAAAATTTTATCTTACAGAGGCAAAGGCATAGGAGAGTCAGAGTTTGGTAACAGCTCTCTGATAAATATGAAGAGAATGGGAACATAAGGGGGAGGGAAGTGACTTTCATTTATATAGCACCTCCCATATGCTAGGCATTATGCTAAGTGCTTTATAAATATCATATTTGATCCGATGACCCTCATTTACTCATTCATTTTCATTCATTAAAAAAAGTGAATGTGCTGTTGTTTCTCTGATATTCATTTAGTAAAGATATAACCATCAATGTAGTTTATTAGCCCCCTTTTCTTCAGAAAAAAAATAACAAGTAGTAGCATTATATTAATATTGTAATTAAAGAAAACAAAATCAGATACTTTGTGTCCAATTCATTTCCCTCAAAAGAAAGAAAAGAAGGAAGGAGAAAGAAAGGAAGGAAGGAAGGAAGGAAGTTAGGAAAGAGAAAGAAAGAAAGAAAGAAAGAAAGAAAGAAAGAAAGAAAGAAAGAGAAAGAAAAGAAAAGAAAGAGAAAAAAAGAAGACATTTCTGAAGCTGCTATCCTTCTGAAAGTCTAGTGCCTTTATATTTCTTTCTGGGGATACAAAGATTAAGTAAATAACTCCTGCTTTCAGGCAATTTACATTCTCCTAAGGGCAAGTAGTATGTAAACAGGTAAATATATGCATGATAAATTTGAGAAGAGAGAAAACTAACAATCATTCCTAAGAAATTAATTTCCTATCTTGTCAGTTAGCATAGCCATCTTCAGATTATGATAGCAGTGGGTAAAAACTAAGGGTATATCCCAAGGCATTAAAAAAAGATTCAAGGTATGCATGCAAAGTGAAACTACGATTTCTGTGAATATGTGATTTTAGCTAACCTTATAAAAATGACTCAGAAAAGATTAATATGTAGTTGCCTTGTGTTGCCCATGATAAGAAAATTGCCAGGTGGATTTTTTTTTATTTGACTTGGTGCTTTGACTTTCTTTTTTAATATAGCAGATATCTTCTATTCATGAGAAATAAATAATTATATCCTGTTCAGATTTTCTTAAGAATTATGTCAAGCTAAGGACAAGAAAGTTTTTTTTATGCAGAAAGGATATGTATTTTAATTGCCCTGATATGCTCAAATCTATTTAAGAAGGTTGAGGGGGCACTTAGGCAGTATATGAAAAGAATATACAATTTGATTTTTGAGTCACCATATAAAATTCTACGGGAATGACTGACTTTTTTTCGAAGAGTAATTGTATGGGCCATGGTATTCTTCCCACTTTTCCTAATCAAGCTATCATAATATGCACACCACGTGGGAATGTTATTCTTTTTTTTTTTTTAATTTAGGGTTCCCCCTTTAACACAGGTCTCATAGCATCTCAGAATAACTTGGTTATTGTAAAGAACTGGGCATTAAATGAAACAATGTAAAAGTAAACCAAGGCATTTTTAATTAAATTGAACTTAAAATATGTTTTACACGTACTGAACATTTTACAATAGAGTTTTTATAGTTCAGTATTTTTTAAAGTTTAATTTAAAAAATGTATTCAAGTCATATGATACATAATCAGACTTGGGAATCTAGTGGGAAATGGTATTTGTGTCAAATATTGAGAGTCAACCTCTGTAGATTTATGTTAGAAAAGTATTCTCACATTCACTGTATAACCTATAAAACTTGTCTCTCTCCCTCTTCCATTTCTCCTCCTCTTCCTCCTTCTCTCTTTCTTTGTCTCTCTCTCTCTCTCACACACACCATCCAATTGTACTTCTTGTGTCAATCCATATCTGAAGCTTCAATAACTTGTACTGCATGTAATTTTGTGTGTTTTAAAATCAATTGGCCACACGTATCAGGATCATGCTGATTCCATCTACTATACGTAGCAGGAGATATAGCATATGAGAAAGTATTTTTCACTACTCCACTTTCACATTATATGGTGGGGGAATAATGTGAATGATCGTTTCAATATAGTGTTGTAGATAACAGGCTTGCATAGAAAATGCTCAGATGAAAATGAAAAAGCTGGGGCACTCATGATTAGAATACAGATAAAATAAACCAAAGAATATATAATAGCAAAGGAGTTCTTTCTCTAGGAGCAAGATAAAGCACTTCATCTCAACCAAGAAGGGAGGAAATGACTTTACTAAGGGAGGGTTGGAGGTCACGCACACACACACACATTTGGGCGTAGGGAGGGTAGTGGCTTCTCCTAAATGTCTGCAATTTGGAGGTTTCCAGTAGCTATTCAAAGGTCCATGCTTGCTTCTCTCAACCACCTCTGTCACAGTCTTCATAAACCTTACTGTGTTCTCCATGTATCTCCTCTTATTTTTTTTATTTTTATTTTTTTAATTTTTAGGTGATTGGGGTTAAGTGACTTGCCCAAGGTCACACAGCTAATAAGTGTCAAGTATTTTGTCTGAGGCCAGATTTGAACTCAGGTCCCCCTGACTTCAGGGCCGGTGCTCTATCCACTGCACCACCTAACTGCTCCCCTTGTATCCCCTCTTATTCAGGTATGTAGTGTCATGCTCAGTATTCTCTTAGGCAATCAGAAGTTCTGTCTCCTTCCATGCACCATGTCAAGCCTGAGGTATGTGTGTGTGATACACAGTGCGTAGCTTTGGAGCTGTAAGTGACTTTGAAGGTCATCTAGGCCAATTCCCTCATTTTGTAGCTGAGGAAAGAGAGGAAAGAGACTTGTCAAAAGTCACACAGGCAATAAAAATCACAGATGAGATTAGAACTCATGTCCTTTAAGTCTAGAGGTCATGTAATCTACAGCACCATGTCATTATTATTATTATTATTATTATTAAACTCTATATAGTGTTTTTAGGTTTGGGGGACATTATCTAATTTGAGCCTTACAACAACCCTATGAAGTAGTGGCAATAGAAATATTATTAGTCCCATTTTACAGATAAGGAAGGACATTTTACAAGAAATTGAGGCTTTCAAAAGGCCATAAATTTAATATTATCAGACTCATGAGTTGAACTCATATTTTCCTGATTTCAAGCCAAGCAAACATAAGATATTTTCTTAGAAGCATGTATGACAGTATGATTCTGGATTAAGGAATTGAAAACATTACTGTACTATTTGGGGGGTAAAGAAATGATCATTTTTAAATACATTCAAGTTCTGCCCCTTCAGTTTTTCTTTTTGCTTAATATTCAGGCTAAATGATTGTTAAAAATTAAACAATAATACCCCCCCACACACACACCCCCTACAACCTTGCCACATTTTCAGGCAAATAATTGTTATTTCTCTTGGTCAAGGCAATAGCTTTTATTAATGGCTTCTGTTTTTAAAAGACTGATTTATACGCAAATTCTTCACCAACTGGGAAAAAAATGATTGTTATAAGGTTATTTTTGAAACCTCATATTAGGCAAAGAAAGCCCATTTGTATCTTGGTTAACATGTATGAAAACCACTAAATTTCCTTTGGTATTACTGCTGAATATGTCACTGTTCCCCTAGATTCTGTACTAGGCCATGCTATGCTATTAAACTTTTAATCCCAGGATCAGTCAGCTAACTTTCAGGGACATTCACTGGTCACAGAATCATGGGCATTAAGAGGAATAATGTGTATGAGATATGGAAAGGTAGGATGAAGACAGATTATAAAGACCAAATAGAGGAATTTATTTTTGATCCTCTAGGTATTAGGGAGCCAGTAGTTTGTATTGAGTAGCAAGGAGGTGGGAATGACATAGTCAGGCCTGTGCTTTAGAAAAAAATCATTTTGTCAGCTGTGTAGAGGGAGAGATTAGAGGCAGGGAAACTATTATTAGAAACATTTTGCAATCGTGAAGGTGAGAGGTAACAAGGGCCTGAACTAGGGTAATAGATAGAAAAAGTTGTGTGTATTACTAAAAATGTTGGGGTGGTAAAAATGACTAAGCTTGGCAATGGCTTGGGTCTCTGGGGTCAATTATAAGTTAGGAATTGAAGACAATATAGAGATTGTGAGCTAATGTGATTGGAAGTATATTGGTACTCTCAGTAGTTATAAAGAAGTTTGGGAAAGTTGTAGGTTTGAAGGGAAATAAAATTAGTTCTATTTTGACAATGTTGTTTGAGATATCTGCAGGATATCCAGTTTGAAATGGTAATGTAGGTTTTTTGAATTCAGAAGAGACACTACAGCTGGATGCATAGATATGAAATCATTTGACTAGAAGTAATAATTGAACCCACGTCAGCTGATAAGGTCACTGAGTCAGATAATAAAGAATGAAAAAAGAAAAGAGCCAGGACTAAGTTTAGAGGTACAGCCTCAGTTTGTGGATATGAATTAGATAATAATAAGTCCAAGGAAACTGAGAAGAGTTCAGGGAAAAGAGCCAAGAGAAAGCATTATCATGAAAACCTAGGGAAGAGAGACTATTCAGAAAACAGGGATGTTGAACAGTGTCAAATGCAGCAGGAAGGTCAAGAAAGATGAGAATTGAGAAAAGAGAATGCATACTGGTAATTTTGAAAAGAATAGTTGAAGTTGAGTTATGATGTTGGAAATCATAAAGCAGAGGTCTTAAAAAGGGTGA